TAGAGAAATTCAGAATAATTTAGTTGGCGAATAACACTTGGTGATGGTGACTTGAAATTCCTATAATGCTGTTCTATTGACTGGAAAATTTCAATATTTTAACTGAAATCTGGAGACTAAACCAGTAAACGAAGGATTCCACAGAGTGTGCTGTGTTTACTTTGGTCTCAAGTATTTGATGAACCTGAACTAAGATAGAGAATCAAACGTAAATCGATATTCAATTTAATTAAATTATCAAACAGATGGAATGTTGAGCTGATAATCTTCATTTTATCACCAGATTTATATAAACTAGACACAGTGTCATTTTCACCTCGGTAAATATTGGATGTTACAGACCGTTTTCACTTTATTTAACTGCTGAAATTGGTCGAGATAAACTTTTATTTGGGATCCCGTCAAACAGAATAGATGATATCAGCGTTTCACTTTAAGATTATATAACCATTCAAGTTCTTTTGTCATATTCTTCCCACCAAGAGTGTTTGTCTTGAATTATAAATCTATAGACGTTTCTGTTTCATCTTCTATTGGTCAGATTGCAAAATTTTAAGGATTTTTTTTTCTGTAATAATTCTCCCATAATTATTCTGAGTTGACAGACTCGAATTGGTACTAAATGTCTAGAATGGTGAATGCCATGTATTACTAACTGTTATGCCCTAATGGAGCTCAGAACAGTTTTTAGATACGGACGTATGAGAATGAAGTTTATTGGTGACATCCGTCATATAAGACGAAGTTCGTAATACCTTGACCATTGTGAAGATGGGTGACATAGGTCTTTTGGAGTGGTATTAAGTAATAAAATGCTTGCAGGGAAATCGAGCAATTTTTATGGTAGTTTAATAAAAAGTAGATCGTTGTATTTAACGTGCCACTGTTAACAATAGTATTGTGTTAGTATGGCGGGTCGTCCTTAAATGTAATAACTGTCTCAATATTTAATTGAAGTTTGTATCTGTGTTCTATGATTACCACAAATTAGCTACTTGTAGATTTTGTTGAAGGAATTATTGTGTAGAACGGGAGATTGATTCAATACAAAATTCTTGTTATTGTAAGTTTGTCTGAACAGATCTGTATTTGTTTTGTAACGTGAGCATTTAGTCAGGAGAGGTCGATAAAGATTCCGAGGAAAAAAACTTCTTAAAAGGAGAATATCTGTTGTAAGGGCACGACAAGTCAATAAAATTCGTCAGACAATTTCCTCCGTTGAATACAGCCTGATGGTCAAGTATTGACCAGCTTCTGAAATCAAAAGAATGTGTGTAGTTTTCTCAAACATGATTAAAACTAATACCCCGAGCTATTCTCTCTGTAATTCTATATTGTCAAACTTCCTCCAGCTAAAATAATTATCTCAGATATTTTAAAAGACATAGTGAAAATTATACATGTTAGAAATATGCTGATGATGCTTCTTTTCTTTCAGATATCCTGCACGACCTGAATTGCACGTATACAAAATGGCGTCCCCGCCCTTCAACCTTCCAGCTAAATATATCTGACAATAAGCTCAATGGTGAAGAAAAATGGCCATTTCAATCAATCATAGACTATGTGGATTATTTACTTAGTATTTGGAGCTGTACGTGAGATAGAAAGCTTACCCCAGTCCCAGCCAGCCTATCTCACTCGCTTTCAAGTAGACGCCATATTGGATCGATGGGATATTTCATGAAAAGTATAATGGCGGGCGTGCTGGGTAAATATTTGAAGTAGTATTAGAGTAATGGCCGCCTGACAACTGTAATATAAGCGGTTATACATTTAATAACTAATGTACTCATGTCATGGCGTTCGATTTTACATACACTACTATTATGTGAAATTATATAAATTTATCTGTATTTTCTAAAAGTTAATATTATAATAAAAATTTCACAATAACAAATATTTTCACTGTTAAAATAGCGCCCAAAAGCAACAATTGTAGAGCGATATAGTAATATTATAACAGCTCGAAGAGTAGAACACAGTTCCAAAAAGATTTTTTTCTGCCATTTCATAAATATTGTAAATAGAATTTCAGTGATTTTACATTTGAAATAGACACTCTTCCTCCCAGAAAATTCAGGTGAAAATGACCTTCTTTACAGACTGAAAATTCCCTTCTGTAAAATCTTTTTTTCTGGTGGTATATGTAATTGATATTTCAATTCTAATATATGATATAATAAGATCACCACAGTTATTTCTATACAAACACAATCAAGAGCATTTACAAATCTGATGCACAATTACCAACAATTATGATTAACTTGGCTTCTACAAAGTTCCCTTTTGGTGGGATCTCTTTTTCAAGGGACATAACTTGCGTTGAATCATTTTTCAATGAATTCGAGTATGAAGTCTTACTTTTCTGCACCCCTTTGGACTGAAAAAGACGAGCAACGCCAAATTTTGCTCTTTGCAAAGGCTTACTCTTTTTCCAATTTCAACCATCGAAATTTGGTTAACGTGGACAGCCTGTAGTACAAGACGGGTTTATTGTACCGTCTGACCGACTAGACGTTTGTCAATGTCAACACATCCGATCTGCATCACTGACAAGAAGAAACCGAAAATCCAAAGGTATTATCTCGACCTATTCTATGATTTAACCCTGGACATGCAAGTTTGCTAGGGAGCGTCTAACTCATTAAGCCACCACAGTTCCCTTGTAAAGCATTTCGGATCATAACATTCTTTAACAATGAATTTTGACTAAATGTTTCCATCAACCATCAGATGTATCAGACTTTTTAGCTAATCTCATTCGTTGATACTCCTTCCTAACCGTATGTCTCTTTCCACCTCCAATTCATCGGTCTGACGTTCAAACCGTCTCCAAACTATAATGAAGCGCTTAGTGCATAGAAATACAACGACTTTCGCGAGAGTAGACTGCGGTTCTCCACTGTTCATATCAATTTCAACGTTGTTTTTCCCACAAGCCGAAAGTCTTTGAGTCAAATTTCACAAATTGATATGTGAAGGTTTAACAGGCGCTGCTACAAAATGTCGTGAATGAGAGAACACCACTACACATTGGCCTGCTGGTTCATTCCTCGTTAGGGACACATAGAGTTACTTCCCATTACCATCAATTTTGCTTCCAAGTAGAATTCCTTCTAAATTGTTTCCAGATATTTCTAAACCTCATCCTTATATTGCTTAAGATAGATTCAAATTCCATTTCACTCAATTTCAGCAATACTTGAAATAAAGATGTGTAACAGTCGCTTGATAACGGCAGCTTACACCCCAAATTTAATTTAAGTTATTGTGTTTATTTATACCTAGAATCACAACAAGAGTTCTTGCACCTAAGTAATATACCACCAACCCCCTGACAAATTAACAAACCAAGTCACAGATTGGCCTTGGCATAAGCTGTGATTTAGGGGCGAGCTTTCCCTGCAATACCTGTTGCTTGTTGTTATGAAGGTTAAGACAAACATTATTACAGTACCAATAGCCTCTTTATGGAAGTGTCATTACGAACTCAAGAAAATATTTTTTAACGCCGTCGGTAAAAATTTCAACGGGGCGAACACCCAATATTAGCTACTTGCTTGGAATATAAAAACGCTGCTTTTACGAAGGGTATAAGATTTTCTCTTCGAAGTAATCCCCCACGTCCCCATCCTTCTCGTTACGCTCATATTGGCTCTTGTAAGGATTGATCTGACATTCTCAGTAGCTCCATAAGCCGCGTTTAGACAGCCACGATTTATCCGGGCGAGGTCCGGACCGAGTACGGTTCGGCACAAAAAAGTGGCTGTGTAAACGGGTTGAGAGGGCTCGGCACCGTACTAGTTTCAAGTGGCCGAGTCCCGCAAGAAGAGGTGGTCTCGGTCCGGACCGAGTACGGCACGGCAAAATATAAGTGCCTGGGCCGGGCCAACTTGGTCACAGATTTCTTGGTGTCATCCACGTCTTCAAAACAGATCCTCTTATGACCCCCTTGATCTTGGGAAAGAAAAAAAATCATATGGAGCCAAGGCGATATAGTAGAGAGGTTGCTCGAACACGGCGATGCACTTCTTGGTCAGGAACTGCGTATGATGCCCAGGGAATTGTGAGCAAGCGTGTTGTCATTGTGTAGCAGCCATGAGTTTTATTACACAACTCTCGCCTCTTCTCGGTAAAACTTGGAAGGGGAAAGCTTATATAATTAGTAGCTTGGATTTGAAAATAATCATCTGTGGCACCAGTTCTAAAACTTTTTTTGTCACACCTCGTATGTGATGTCAGAATTCCATAAGTCTGTGTACATTTCTAGGGCGAGTTCTTCGGATCAGAAAGCTGAAAAGCCCAACAAAATAAGATAAGCGTAAACCACAAGCGACCACAATATCAGAATTTGTCTAAAGCTATAAAACCATCCCAAAACCGACTGCATTGATAAACACAAATATGTTTGAAATTACCAATTATATACCCTCTAGCTAGGTTCTAGATATTGTTAAAATATTAATATGTTTACTAATTGTTTAATCCCCAACCAAAAACCTATTATTTGGATGTATTTTGCTTTGAGAAGTTTGTGACATTTCATCTTTTTATTATTAAATTACAATAGAAGTACGACAACGTAAAAAGCAGTGTTTAAGAGTTTTAGACAAAATTATGACTACAAAGAAACTTCATGGATAGGCAATCTTTTCTGGAATGTTTAGTGATGCCAACCCATGACCTTGACCTTCATAATACTCTTCATTATCAACATTTAATTCCTTTAACTCACTGTTCATAGGTACGTTTTGAGTGTCGCCATTTTTGCTATACGATGTTAAAGGTACGAGCAATGATTTGCCACTACTTTTCCTTAAATGTTTTTTTGTCAAAGGCGTGCAACACTGTAAATCATTAAGAAAGTGCAGCGTTTGACAACCCACATCTTCTTTGTTCTTACAAAGTGCCTTACTTTCCGGTAATGAAGAGGTGACCCTTTTGAAGTCTTTTTTCCACGCGGTATTTATATTTTGTTTGTCGTGTGATTTAGATTTACAATGCAGAATAGACCAAATTTTTCTCAATAGTTCTTTCCGGAACAGTATATAAACCCAGGGGTCAAGGATTTGGTTTATACAGGCCATACGAATTGCCCACAAATCTACCGCATGGTTAACTGGTTGTAGTCCTGTTTGGTTGATGACAAGTCGAACCTGAAATTAGAAAATATAGACAAGGTGAAATTAAATAACAGTAGGCGTCTGAGAAGGAACGTAAATTCATCTTTTTCTCCAGAAAAACAATGTAACAAAGTACACTTTGTTTTTGATACCCAATGTCTGGTATCATTTTAATGTTCTTGCTTAAGAGGTTTTTTTTCGTTAGAATGACGCCTCTGATATGGCCCAGGAAAGTCGTGCATGTTTTGAAAGTCACTTTACATATTATTTAACAAGAGGAAAGTCGGTTGGCAACGGCCATGTAGCTTCCTTGACTAACACTGCGCCGTCCTTCTCAAATCATAGTAACACACGTTTTTGAAGTTTTTGTTAAATACGCATTCTTCAACGTGCCTTATTAAAGAATATAAAAGTGAGAAAAGACGATTAAAATAGCTAAAATAATGTTACCCAATTCATGACGATGTTAGTGGTGTATGCACTGGCTTAACAGAACGGAAATAGTTTGTCTCAACTAACCGAATTTTATGAAAGTTCAACCATGGTATTTCTAATGTTAATTAAGGTCAGTGAAAAATAAATGTCACTTGAAAGATTTCTTTGTTTACACTTAAAACACTTTTCATAGATTTCTGTCGTGTGACCTGTTTGGTTTTTTGACTATTAAAATTAGAACAAGTGTCCGTTTTAGTTCACCATGAAACATATTTCATTTTTAATTGAAACATTATAGCAAAAGTTAGATTCAAGAGAGCTGCTCCCTGTATAGACAATGTTGCAATACTGCGCTGTTTGATAGCATCGTGATTTAATTTGCTAGGAATCTCAATTTAAAGTCCACTTTTTAATAGATCAACGAGGCATAAGCTACATAAACTCAATAGCTATCTGGGTAGATGTTTCTTGTAATCCCATCCACAGTGAAATATAACTATCATGTGGTTTTAGAATACCTATCTTAACAATAGTGATGAAAGATTAACCATCATCAATATCTATTACCAGATGCATAATACTATTGATTGAGGCAAGGATTTATGAAAGAAAAAAAATGGAAAGCCAATTGGCGTTTGAAATGGTTTTCATATTCTGGTGAAGTTTGCTGTCATTTTAAGTGATACCAAAATAGACAACCGAAAATTTAAAAGTGTTAATATGTACATTATAATATGTACGTTTATCATCTTCACTCAGTCTGGGATAGAAAGTTTTGATCAGATTCAGTTATTGCCCTCGACTTGGTTAATACAATTTCTCAATTGTGAACATGACAGATTCTGATGGTGTATTTTATTTTTCTTTTTGATAGAGTGTGATTTATTTCGATGAACAGTTTTAGAGTTATTGCTCTTGGCTCTCGAATGCAGTAGAGAGATTTTGATGAATATTTTTGTTAGTTACCAAATATTCCAGGATACTCATGTTACTTTAATGCATGTTTTTAGCGCAGATTACCCTGCTTTGTATTTTTTGTGTTTGATCCGTTTTGACAAATAAAGAAATTATATAATGTGCATTCCGTTCGCTTTCCAAAGACATTAAAATTAGGCTATTCAACAAAAGTTCCAACTATGAACAAAACATTGACCTGGTGACCATGTAAATAAAAAACACAAAATTATGATACGCCAATGCCAATCATTTAGCCTCGATTTAGATACTGGATTTGGCAAATGTTGTAACTCAGTGTTGAAAATTAACGCAAAACTTAAATTTGACATTAACAATCTGACCTTGGAACTATACAACAAAATATTGACATCATAAGACTAAAGTTTTTGTATGGTTTCCTATGTTACCAACATGCATAAACAATACTATTGTATAATTTGTGTTTTAAAGCAGGGCCCTCTTGAAAGTTACTATTATCAACCAACTTGTACTAACAAAGAGCAGTGGGTCAGTGGGACCAGAAATTCGTTTCAATGATCACCAAGCAGTAAACCTTAAATGCAAGAAAACTGTTCCTGGAACGGTTATCCTCTTTACTATTGACCCCGAGAATTACTCTGTGATCTGAATGGAAAATCATGACATAAATTGGTGCTCACGATTCATCAATACCATCTCATATTACCACAGGAAATAATGATACGTGATTATTTTATATTCTTTTATCAATATTTAATTAGAATAAATCATATTTTACGTCTTGCCAATATATTTGTTCATTTCCCCCATTGGCCGAGAATTACAAATTGTCAATTTGACATGTTCCTATGACACTACGTTAGATCTCTCTAAGGACATCAGGTCCGTTCGTCCCAGACGAGGATGTACGTTCACCTATAGGTTCGTTTGCATTATACTGAGGAGTCAGTATGATATATTATATATTATCATGTGAGTTGAAAAAATATAAGCGTCTTGTCGTTCTGAAGTCACAAGAGACCAAGGCCCTGTGTGCCAGAGGCTGAACACGTTAAAAATTCCTTCGATTGGAACCCAAAATGTCTCAAACAATGCGTGAACCAAACCATTTGAAATTATGAAATTATTGAGTTCACAAAAATGCAAGTGTCACAAAAAATGCAAGTGTCACTAGCAATGTTCAACCTTCCACTCTGCGATTGGTTTTGACAACCCCTTTAGAGAGTCCATATAGCTTTTTTATATTTATTTTTAATGGTTTTAGACTTGTAATGATTGTTACTTACCATTAGTGGAGCATAACAAGTAGCAAATACCAATATAATACCACCTAATAATATCATCATCTGTACCTCACTGTTTAATTTATTAGACTGTCTTTTAATTAATGTTGATGGTTTGATGTCTTTAGCCGATTGCCTCATCTTAACCAACACTATCATAACAGCTACATTACAAATAGCAGTTAAAAATATGACAGCTAAACCAACAGACGAATAAAAATAGGTAAAAATCTTCCCAGTTAGTTTGTCGCTTTTATAGTCAAAGAAGCACCAAGTTCCAGGATACTGAAGAATATTTTCGCCCAGTCCAAACATTGGTAACAAAGCTATAAATAGCGACGTTCCCCATATTCCTATAACAATATACTTCACTTTCCCAATTGAAAATCTCGTTTCATAAGCATAAGGATGGATGATGGCCACAAATCGCTCAAGTGCCATTGCACCAACTATCAGTAATGTAGCTATTCCAGAAAATATCATCATAAATGAGGAGTAATTACACAAATGATGTCCGCCGACCCATGTTCGTCCTGTAGAATATACAATAATAGTAATTGGTGACACCGACACAATTCCAAATAGATCTGTACAAGCTAAAGCTCCAACTAATCTGTAAAATACTGTCTTTTTATGTTTCTTTCTGGAAGTTCCTAAAACAACCAACGCCAACACGTTTCCAAATACACCACTAGCAAACATTAACGTTGGAACAGTCACTGTTAATAAAGCATTATAAGAAGAAAGCGTTGCGTTTCTATTTTCTGTCACGTTATCAAACACAGTAACATTGGAAACAAACGTAGTCAGAAACGCAACCGCAGTTGTTTCCATTATCTGAATAGTAGACGAACCTCACAAATACGTCTTTGTATGCAACTGTCCAACAGTCTTAACTTATATTTTACTCGATAAAAACGTGTCTAGTTTGGCCGAGGTTTAGGGAAATGTATAATCCAATTGTTCAAGGATAAAACAAAGCTCACTTGAGGTAACCTTGAAGTGAAAAAGAAAGAATTTTAAGCCAAAGGTCGGTAATTATTCATCTCACATCTTCTTTGTTAAATTAAAGTTAATATTGCTTGATCTCTACATTACCTGCATGTAAATTCATTAGTAGTCTGAATTGGTGACGCTTTATCCTTTAGTAAACACCACTAACTCTTAACCACTCGAATTCAAACAAATCTTCAATTTGTCCGCTAAATATCAGAAATTCTGTAACGGAAAACACTTGCTTGATAAATTATATTTCATCAATTGACATTGGTATTGGTCCATCAGGTTGGTTGGTGTAGATTAAGTTAACGTTCGCTTCCAGCGCAGTTGTTGGTAGTCGTATTAGTTGGATTGGTTCAGTTAGATGATTCTGTTTTTTTGGTTAAATGGTTGGTCTCTCAACACTTTTCAATTTGATAAACAAATGCTTATCAATCACGTGATGATACCATTACACTTGATTGGTTGGCCAATCAATTTTCAAAATTAACTTTTGTCGTTTATTCATCAATGACGTCCTGAAGTTCGTAAATAGCATTTCCAAGTCAATCACTTGAACGCCCCGACGTAATTACAGAATAAAACTATTGGTGGTCTAGTCAACATCAACGATCAGGAATCTGCTTATAAATTGATCTATATTCGATTTGCTCCTCCTGAGTAAATTAATATAATCTATTCCAATCTGGTTGAGAATTGTAAAGTTTCCAACTTGACTAATGTCGAGGACACTATTAGTAACAAGTTAGTATTTGAGTACCCGTGGTTCACAGATGTGTATGTCTGACGTTTACATTGTAAATATACTGGTAATAGATAGTATACTAGAAAATACTGTTACTAACATACAGAACATTTAGTTACACTGATTATTTCAATCTGAACAAAATATGTTTATATTTTCAGTATTTACACTAATTGGAAAATATAAACAAAGATTGGCAGCCTATCGATTTATATTTCTGTCTGTATACTTCGGCGTTGCTAACATCTACAGAAATCAGAAAAAAGGAGGTTGTGGAATCCTGTAAATGTTACCTGTAAATCAAGAACTTTGAAATGCCAATCGATCCTTCCCATCAAACAGGAAAAGCAAAGCCTTTTTACTATGAGTAATATATCATTAAACTTCATAGGTTAACATACATTTTTAAAGGCAACGAATAATTTGAAAATAAAACACACCCCGGTAATAACATGCGATCCTCGACAAGAAATACTTTACCAGAGCTGGCTGAAAGACTCTAAGCCTAACTTTGAAATATTCATACCAGGTCGATGGTTTTTCTTTTTTTTTCTCCTCTTAATCCCCTTCTATGATAACACACTTTTGCTACATGAAACATTACCTCACGTTGCCTTATTTTTTTTCTTGATCAAAATGTAACCATCTATTTTATGCAAGTACACAAATCGAGACTTAAAGGCTAAATGGCCAAAAATAGATAGAAAGAAGCTGTGCTGATGAGTGTTTGATGTAAAAAATAACATTTAATACATGTTAATACCAGGTTTATACGCCTTACATATGGCAATACCTTACAATTCGATCACACATATTTATATTTCGAAAGCTCTTGTACGAATAACGTTTCAAAATTCTCCGATGGCATGACACACTGAAAGACTTTATAACACATTTCTTAAGCGACGTGCCTTCAAGTGCATCACACGGAGCTGTTATAGTACCTTTTAATTGCTCGATAAAATGTCTGTAAATTGTCTTTATTGCTAAACATGTGAAAGAAAAAGTGCGGTGTCGAGTGTGATGGACGATACAGTAGAAAATCAAACAAGCATATACCAGTTTGTCTACTGGTCGAACACGATGTGGACAAAATTCGCCTCTTCCTGTTTTTTACTGTATCAATAATCCCATATCATACCTGGTCTGGTCACCAACAAAACCAAAACCTTCAATCCATTGTTAATGTAACAGCAAGTCCATGGTATGGAACAGTATGCACAAAACCACAATAGTGTCTTAAACCACTTAAGTAAAACCTACTATGTATGTTACGTCAATGGCAATGCAGTACTATCATGTGCAAATACTCTATTTTCTGTTATTTTAAAGAAATTGTGGAATTTCCCGAGTTAAATTGTAACCAATCTGTAGTATTAGATGTCAGTATGGCATTTCCCATGAAGGAAGTAGGAATTATAGACATATTGATATTCACCAGCTGCAGTAGATATTTTGAAAAGGGATTATGAAGAAGTGGTTATTTTATTCAAAAACAATAATGTGTATCCCTTCAATTTTGCAATTCCTCTGAAATCAAGTGTTTTATGACATCACTAATCGCAAAATATGCTTATCACATTTTAGACTTTTCGACGATTATTGACATCACCAAACACTTAGTTTTAGTATAATTTGGAATGGTGCGAATTGATTGTATCAATGTCCCCGATACACTTAAAAATCTTTTTAGAAAACCTCATTACTATCCAATTAATAACATTTCAATGGTCAGAGTTGTTGATCCCCCATTGTTGTAAGAAAACAACAAATCAATGAATTTTAGTATCCATGTTAGATTTTTTGGGTGTGTCTTCAATGGCTTGGACTACCTTTCCTCAGTAAAAAAAAAAACAAAAAACTTTTCTCGGCATATCCTTGGTCGAGTGATGCCCTCGACTATATTGTCAGGGTGCCAAAGATTGACTTCACGATAAATTTGTATTGAGACACAATCTGTTGGACATAATATATTTGTAATTGAATAGCAACACTCTACAAAATCTTTTTCTGTCATGTTCATGATATTATCAATTCATTGTTTCATTTAAGAATTTGGTGGGTCAGATCTTGGTAAATATATCCAGAATATTTTGCATGTCACTTTATCATTTTAGTTCATCTTCCAGAACTGAACAATCAATTACATCTACCCCAGTCGAAATAGTCTGAATGTATCATATGAATCATCTTATGAATTAAATATTTATGTTTTAGACTTAACAATTTGTATTTTTTCTATAATTCAGCAAGTCACGATAAGAGTATTTCCATTATGATAAATCGTGTTAAAGAATGTCATCGAATCTGTGAATATTTCAATTTATTATTCCATCGATCAGATTTTTATCTTATTAAGTTAAGACATTTCGTGGAGGAAACAATATCACACATTCAATTAAAGATAGAATTCCTTCACAATGTTACAGGCTATTGTTTATAGTGAGCAAAACTTATCAGACAACAAATAATTATAGAAACAGTAGAAAGATATATTTCAAAATTATATTGCACAGTAGTTCCCATCTTCACAATGTCAAGCTATTACGACCTTCGTACTTATACCTTGACTTCAGTAGTCATAGTACCATGGAAGTTTGTAAATGAAGCGATTTGATTGGATTGTACGCTTGCGAATACTGCCTATTAGGAGCCTCGACAGAAAGTCTGTGAACAAAAAGCCAAAATGTTTACAGCCTTTCTTCTAAGGGCTCTAATTGGCTGTATTGGCTAGCGTACAATCCAATTAAATTGTTGCATTAGTGGCTATTGCAGTCAAGGTATAAGACGAAGTTCGTAATAGTTTGTGAAGATGAGGAGATCTGAGACAATCATTTGTTGAGATATATGATCAAACATTGATGTTCTATGCTATCATAGTGTTTAACAGTTTTATCAAAGTATATTGTTGAAGAAGTAAAAATATCTCAGAACGTGGTGTTCTTAATCTTAATAATGAAAATGATACCGTTACAGTCGATAATAATTATTGATAATCATGAAGAATTATTGGAAACATCCTCATCCAACTTTGTGTACTGACTATGGTTCAATTTTATAATACGAGTGTGTAAAAGTCCGCGGGACATAATATGGAAAAGCTTCGCGAATTTTTTGTGGATGGTATACTCGTCTAGGATCTCGTCCAACCTTGCTGAGTTATGAATAACCGATGTTCACACTTTTCAAATTATGGCTTATGCATATGCATATGATCTGGAATTGGAGCTTGTTATAGGTTATCTCCAAACTTCATGTAATACACATAGCAAAATCTCCATGACTCGCAATACTATCGTACCACTATAGAAGAAGGTTGTCGCTTTCAGACTTGAAAATGATATTTATGGTTATTATATTGTATTTTTTACATTGTTTGGTATTCTTCGGCATAATTTCCTTTGAATAACAGAATTCAGTCTTGACTCCTATTTTTCTTTAATTAAGAATCTCTGGGGTTGATTCCGAAACCATTTACAACTGTGATAGGTTTAAAAGATGATATCCCAGACATTTCAACATGAAACAAGTTTGAAATATGTTGTGATCGGTCGAAAAAGCAATTTGAAACTAGAGTCAGTAAAAGAGTCAAATTTAAAGGAAATCCACAGATGATTTGTATGAAATTTTATTTACCGAAAGGACTCTTTAATAATTTCTGATTCGGGGTAAAATAGTAAAGATTTTGTCAAGTGACTCGGTAACAACAAAATTGGGTTGTATCATTGCTAACACCGAAAACAGTAACTTTAAGTCAAATGAAAAATTAGTTCTAGAATACTAATAGAAGTTTGTATATGAACATTGAACTCGATTTTTGCCGGCTGAAAACTACAAAAAACATGTTAAACTTAGACATGATAGAAAGGGTGTATTTACCAACTTGTTTCATCCAAATGCAATAGCACGGTTACTGCTAATTGCATTAGTGTTTAAAAACCAATTTACACCCAACTGTTTCAGTTGAAAATGTCACTGTAACCCTTAACTTACATACAGACCTGTTTCAATCAAACAAACTTCATTTACTTTAGCTGTTGATGGTATGTTTGAAGGATGATTCTGTAACATCAAACACCTTACATCAGATTTACTTTACTAAATCTTCCTAATCCTAGTTATTCAATTAATTTTGGGGTATTTTTTTTCATCATGCCAATTAAATAATACGAAAGTGTCAAGAACAATTCTGGGCATCCTTAATCATCGACTAATAGCAACCAAATAAACGTGAAAACACACTTGAAGTGGCAGTGGCTCAACTACAGGAGTGTGGGCTTATTTTATATGCTCTTCGGCATTCTGAGACATTCTGTAAGTCAACTTAATGCTTGTTAATGGAAGATTTAAAAATTTTCAGTCTGTTGTTATATGTAAATTTTGAATTTATTTTCGAGGTGTCCCCCTAAGGAATGGTGGCCCGCCGACTTGGTTCAACCAGTCCCTATGGTAGTTGAGCTATGTAGTTCCGAACAATAAACCGATTTCTTCTTTATCCTGTCGTTGTAGTAAAGTGCAGGGTTGAGCTCAAAGTCAAATTTCTTTTAAAATCAAGTCGGCGTCTCTACTCTAAGCGACTAGGTCTCACGATAAAACCTCATCAGAAGAAACAACCCTGTTGGAAGTTCATCTTAACTACTTGGACTCCTAATTTTACATAGCATCGGAAGAAAATATTTTTGTGAAATTTAGATATCTGTAACAAGCATGTCTGATAATAAAAAAAAAGAATAAGGATTGACAATAAATACTGGAGGGTTCAGATGGACGACAGATGATTCCAGACACTACGTCGTTTCGTCGAAATCGACATTTTTAACCAAAATGTTCATTTGGGAAATTTCATTTACTTCTGGCAACTACGATGGAAGCAGATTCCAACTACTCGGTGAGAGTAGAAGGGCTTGTTTACAGTATGGAGAGGGAAGAGCAGAGCAGCGCAGTCGAGCGTTCACAGTCATGTAAGCAGAGCAGGGCTGGAACACGAGCAACTGATTGACTGCGATTTGTATTTGTCGGTTTACTCTCCAAATGCCGCCACTTCCAGATCCCAATAACACCGCCAATCTAAGCCTACCTTCACAGTTGTTGTATAGTTGATGACCTATTTTTATATTTTTTTTTAAATATTTGACACTTTATTTAAGATGGTAAACATTGTTATGGTTTTCCTCTTTCTAAGATTAGTCAATTACTTTTTCGTTTACCTTTTAACATTTAAACTGGTATTTCTATATTTACCATCAATTTTATCTTTACCTCTAGCACAAGTTAAAAATATACCTTCACCTTAAGAATTTTAACTGAAGAATTAGCAACAAGCTATATTTGTACCTTCGTTCTTCATCTGCATCGTTTAGTTCTCGAGGACGACCTGAAAATGAATTTTTATGAATGTTTTTGTGTCCTAATTAGGCACCGACATACGATATGTATAAAGGAAAGATTTTGCCAGGACATTGGCATTAGCCTGCTGTTTAACATTTCTTACCGCCGAATAGCCATATTATTATTATCCATCTGAATGATGCTGAAAGTTGCTCCACGAATATGCCGTAACATAAGTTTCCGTCTTAATTGTCTGAACAGAATGAGGCCAAAGTTTCTCAAAAATGTGTTAACTGAAAGAAAATACATGTTTTGATTTCTTTATTTTAAAATTAAAATTCCATAAAAGGAAAACATTTATAAGTAATATGCGTTTTCACGGCGTTGAAGCTAATCTTCGAAAACATAGTCGTTTACTAGAATAAGTAGTCCTTAGACACCATTGGTTATCTCCCTTCAATTACTTTTCAAACGAACACCGCCAGAAATTAGAAATCTGAATTCTAGTTGGGATTCTGAGATAAATTTATCCCACTGTTGATCACAGCGTTTTATAAATAGTTAAAATTCAAGAATTGTTTTACGGATTAAAATGATATATTTTTGGTTCAAAATCATAACATTTGCTCTTCATATTTTCGTTTCGTATCTGATGATCAATGGGAATCATAAGAGGTTCAAAGCCTTTGACTGTACATTTGGACATTTCTATCTGAACCATTCCGATAAACCGTCTATAGCTTTGGTTAATCCAGAAAAAATACAACTTAAATGAGAATATTACGTTGTTAAGTCAAATGTTTCTTGAGATAGTGGGGTTATAATCTAGTCGATATTCTGGATTTTGGGAACAACGAACAAAGGTACAAAACCTCTTACGGATCATGATGGTTCCTTTCAACGTCGGGTATATTATTACAACGATGAGTGAGTTTCATATTTAAATCGTTCCATAACCTTCATAATAAATGGTATTTTACCTTACTATAGCAAATATTTTATGTTTCAGACAATGATATAAGGTGTTTTATGTGGAATAAACAAAGCCATATCGCAAGACAATCGACACCTGTTGAGTACAACTAAACTTTACTTCGTGTAAAAGCTTTCAACACAGCTTGATCTGCTGGAGAAGGTTTGGCATCTAATAAATTGACTGCCACCCCTCCGTTACCATAAACATTTTCACTGAGTCTTCTGATATATGATGGTGAGCGATTATACTGACTGGCTGCCCTGGATTGAGTATAATAGGTATTGTTAGGTCGCGGCGTAGGAGGTTCACACATACAATGCCAACAAAAGTCTAAACAAGTATATTCCTCATCCTGGAATTGTTTTACCGGCACACCTTCCACATTTACTGGCTTTGGTTCAATTCTGAGAAAACATTTGATAGCATCAACAATCTTCCACACCAATTCACGACGAAATAGTATATAAACCCAAGGATCTAAGATGGGATTAAACGAAGCGAACCGTACCATGAGTAAACCAGCTTTATCTGTGTTTATAGTTTCAACTAAACTCGTTTGGCACAATAACACATAAAACTGAAAATAGAAATGAGAATACAATTAACTACAAAGCCAAGAAGTAAAGATTACCATCATAAAAAGTTGGGTTTTTTTTAACAGTAAAGCATTTAAATTAGCCGCCGATCTAACGCAGGGAAGCAGCCCCTATGAATATTATTGCGAGGTTCCCACTTTCATGTGATCCGTTTCCAACGACACGATTGGCCAATGGTAGCTGATCATGGAATTTCTCTGAAATCCTAGGTATGTGAAACGAGTGAACACATTTTGAAACGATTTGTTGCTCTCGTATGCGATCTGTTCACGAGTGCTTAATTCTTGGTGTCAATACACGTCTAGATATGATTGTTCCGTTTGAGCTCTCGAATGAGTCTCGATCTGGCACGAGCTGGTACGAAATTTACAAATCGTGACCAGATCGCATACGAGACGAATTAATCGTATCTAAACCGAATTCAGAGAAATTTCACGATCAGCTCTGATCGTATCGTGCCACTGTTGGAACGTAATTGTCTTGTCTATGTTCAGCCAGATCACTACTATTTTGAAGCACGATTAGATGCGATCCATCGCGCTTTGTTACGAAACAGCACGTTCTAATATGATGATACAGATTGACAATGGATCGTGTTGATGTTAAAAAATCTTTAAACCGTTCAAAATTTTTTAAATATTAACACGATTGCCGCGATCGATTTGAAGACCTGGTAGGATAATCACGATTAGTGAAATAAGATAACAATTTTATACTTCCAGCGAATCCTAATAGTAGGAACCTAGCATAATACATAATAAGTATGAGTAAATTAAGAGACTTTTCGAAAAAGTAAAAATTTGCCTAATTCAGTGTAAACCAGGTGATAAATGATTAACAGGAACATATTTTTCGTTCTGATTTTTAACTTCATAAATGCGTGCGATAATTGGCATAAACATGAAAAGATTATGTATGTTGATATAAATCTTAAAATATTAAATAACATAATATAAATAACATAACATACACCTTCATTACAAAGATTAAAGTTGTCAAAAATCTACTACCTTACAAATTATTTAGTGAAAACTCTCTTTGAAATTTTATTCTTAAAATAAGCCACGACCATCTGGTTTAAACAAATCAAATCTTGCCGTACAAAATTTCTAGAAGAATTTTTTAATTACTTATTACATATCACTTTTTTACGTCATGCCAAGTTTCACCTTGTGGATTTGTTAACATGCGAAGTGTTTCAAATAAACTTAAGCTTTTTTTTCTTTTTAACCCTGTAAAAGCCATAAGACTGCCAAATCATTTTTAATTTCTATTTCAAGAGCCATACATTATTTCGTCTTTTTTGTAGTTAGCAATTACAGTCTTATGGAGATACAATAAACATTAAATTATGTGAAAGAATGTTGAAAAAGCTGAAAATTATTGGGTGTTAGATAGAAACTCTCAAGTAGGGATCTTCGAGAGGAAATAAATCAGTGTTTCAGAGCATTCAACTTGTTCTCCACGCAACAAGACATTTCAAATCCCACAACGGACCTTTTGAATGTAATATATATTTATCAATAACTTGTCAATATATTTTTATAGATAAGTCAATACAATAATTATTTGTTTATTAGAATTTGTCTAAATCCGATTTGAGTGGAGGAACGAAGCGACCAAAGTATACGTTATCACTCTGCGTTTAACATCAGAGGCATCATAACTGTCAAAAGTATAGAATAATATATAAAAACAAATAGTTTGTTTGTGAGTACAAGCATTGATAAAACATTAGCTGTAAAGATCTATTCTTAATACTTGAGGGATTAGAAAAATGTTTTAAGTACATTTCAATTAACAGTCAATTAAAAATAATGTTGTGATACTAGGATAAAAATATCTATAGAAATCATTTCAATCAGTCAATCGATCATCTTTTTATTTGTTTAGCATCCGTCAATCATTGATATGATATATTTAGAATGCCTGGAAGTATAGACTAGACAGGTTGTTGGAATATTTACAAAACTCACAGACTAACTCGATATTTCGAGATGAAGGTTTTAAAGGTATACTACCTCTTAGGTTGATCAAAAAATTTTAGATATTCAAATGTAACAAAAAAGAGCCTTTGTTCGTCAGTGGACTTACCTGGTGTCAAATGTCCCTATAAAATCCAATAAGTTAATAAAACTAAGTAATTTTAAAACGTTTTTGAAGCGTTCTACAATAATTACTTAGCTTAATGGATAGAGATTATATTCTTTGGTCACTAGCATCCGGTAAGTCCAACTGATGAATATATACTTTTATTGTTCATTCTAAGAGGTAGTATTCCTTTAAATAGGAAAGGTATTTTCATAAACACATTTCCTTTCAAGGAAATTCAGCCAAAAATGTCCATAATTTTAGCCGAAAATCAAATTAGAAAATGATAATATTAACAGGCTAGTAATATCATAATGGAATTGTGAATCTGTACCAAGAGTGATGGAATATTTTACATAACATCTATTATGCCTGTAATTCACGCTCAAAGTACAATTAATACCATAAAATTACAATATAGATTAGCTTGAATAGAATTCCCTTGAAAGATCAATTTCTCTAAATATAATCTTCCCGACTGAATTTTACAACTGACTGCATTACATGAAACGTTATAATTCCAGGAATAGTTTTTACCACAAGGAAATAACGCGAAATTATTTACATTCACAATCCGTTTTAAGACATGTAATCCGTCTCTATCGTAACCAAGTTCACGGTAAAACAGGTCTGCTTTGAACAAGAGTAGTTAAACAGATGTGATCAGATTTGAGCAAAAGAAAGTACATTCTCTGCTTAAATTGAAAAGTAAGACTGTTTCTCTAGTAATGGTGTACTATAAAGGATTGAAATCTAGTATTGGATAATATATTTCGGGGCAAGTAAACTGCCGGTGTTTTGAATCATCCGCCCAAGGCGGACCGCCTCCGCCATTCGCCAGGTCATTTGAGACTAGATATTCGCGAATTGAAAAGGACGTTTTCTGATGCAGGCTGCAATAAAAAGTTGAAATGTTTTTATTACGTATGACGAAACGAAATAATAAATGAATGTTGTTCTTCCCACTATGGCAAGTTTGAACGTGAATTAAAGTAAGCGCGCCATGTTTTTTTTTTAAATTTTGCTTGTGAGTAGAGACTTTCTGTTGTTAAATCCTATATGACCTAAATTTTCCTCGAATTTTAAGTATTGTAACATTGCAATTTAGGTCATATGTAAATGCAATGTTCCTAAGATGTATTTTAGTTTACCAGACTGCTTCACAGTTGTACTATAGACATTATCTCAACTAAAACAAAATACTACGTAATAATATTTTAATCGCCAACAGTTTCAATTTTAGTTCTATAAACCCTTAGAGACTAATATGAAGAATTTCGATGTGATTTTGACATTGTCCTCAAATACCATGCCCCAAGGGAGTAGAATTTCTAACGAATTACATAAAAGAAAGTAAATTAGGTAGGAAAATGGTCTTCATCTGTCATTTTCTGATATATTATTATGTTCACCTTTTCTTAAATGATGAATCGGATATACACAAGAGAAAGGAACAATCTGATTAATTAAATCATATTGATGATATGATGAAAACATTTTCTCTTTCCCAAACAAAGTACAGAAATGACTTATCTTCGAACACATACATAATTAAGAAAATGGACAACCACATACCATCGACATCATACATCATACATTATACAAGATACATGGACAATCAATCACATACCATTGCCGTTATACATCATACAAGATACATGGACAAAGCATTTATGAAGACTTATAGTGTTTCAGTACATGATAAAGTTGCAAAAAGTATATGTAGACTGTAAAACAATATGAAGTAGCAAAATGTACACACTATTTTGAGATGCAGTGCCCTATGTGTAATATGTAGTCAGTATTATGTGAGAAGTGTATTGAAACGAATCTGGAATCTCCGAGGATTGGTAAAGCAATTTGGTTGTTCCATAAGTGACAACCTACTGAACACATCGAATGCAGATGACATCAGTGTATTGCCGGATAGGATGTTTTTTTACTACAAACTATCCTTGGGATTCTGAAGGCAACTTTAAAATTGTTGTCAAAAAATCCAAATCTGAAACACAAGGCTGAGTAAATAATATTGTCACACTTACACGCTATATTATTTTGAGATGCAGTCCTTGAGATGTAATATGTATTCAAGTTTTTAGTGCATTGCAACAAATTCGGAATCTCAAAGGATTAGATCGATTTGTTCCACAAGTGACAAATTTACTGAACACATCAAATGAAAATGATGTATTGCATGTTTTTTTTTTACAATTAAAATATCTTTTAGGTTCTTAAGGCAAGACAAAAAACTTATTGCTATATAAGGAGAATTCTAAATGCAGGGCTGAAGAATAGTTTGTAATTCAACAAGACCAACAAGACCTCTTCATTTTACAATACATTCTACTTGTCAATACAGTGCCATATATAAGAGTACTTGACAAATGAATTCATTATTTCCATTAAGTTTTCTTGTGTTATTTCCTTCGAAAAATCGAATTTACTGACAATAAATTTTTGTAGAACATGGTGTAATTAGGTTCTTCATTAAACAGTGCTCTATCTTCTCTGAATGTTCAAAACATTGTAATTGTATAAATCAATCAAACAGAAAAAAACCCTTAGAAAACAAAACAATCAGGAAATTTTACTCTAATATGCATTGTTTTGGCTTTGGGGCCAATAATGATGGTTTTCAAGGGCTCTTGTGCACTGGTTGCATATAGCTTTTGATTTTCCTACCATTTAACAGACCCACATTTCTCCTCGAAACTACAATAATTCTAAATCATAAGCAATGAATAGTCATCATCGAAACATCTGCATCTATTCCAGCCACTGAAAACTTTTTTAACAGAACTAGTCCCTGTTTAATGGGGATTCTCAGCACCTCCGAAGGTGGTAAACCATAAAACGTGGCCAAGTTTTTCTGGCCCTACTCCAGTCGGCA